AAGGGTTTATTCAGCTTACATCTCCCAGGTCACAGTTCATCATGGAGCCCAAGGTAGGAATTCAAGGCAGGAACCTGGAGGCAGGAGCTGGAGCACAGGCCATGGAGGAACCCTGCTTACTGGCTTGCTCCCCTGGCCCCTGCTCAGCCTGCTTTCTTATACAACTCAGGCCCACCTGCCCAGAGGTGGCACCACCCACAGTGGGCTGGGCCCTCTGACATCACTCATCAAGAAGATGCCACTCAGACATGGCCACAGGCCAGTCCTATGGAAGCAGTTCCCCAGCTGAGGCTCCCTCTACCCAGGTGTGTGAAGTTGACACTAAAGCTATCCAGCACAAGCACCAACTCCCATGTTCGACCGGGGTGGTACCCCTCCATCTCCTCACCAAGTAGGAGTCAGTGAACGGGACTGTAGGGATTTATAGGGCAACACCACAAAGCAGAAAAACATGGCTGGTATGGGTTCTCACTTCCATCATTCTTCCTGTCTAGGATTTGTATGCAAGGGCTAGGGCACCAGCAGCTGACCTGAACCAAGAGGAAGCTTGAGGAGACAGTCGTGTACCCAGAAGAGCAGGCAGAAAGAATCGAAGTGTCCGATGGTCAGAGCCCTGCAGTCTAAATAGTATTTATTCTCTTCATACATTTAGCTGCTTATGTAATTCAGCCAATAGGATACATTGATTAGTTTCAGATAGGCAGGTCTAGTTAAGGCCGAGTCCAGCCAGGAGGGCAGTCAAGTCCTTAGACAGGGTTCCTTGCCACCCTCCGCCCCCTTGTTTAGAAACAGTGAGAATGTGTGTGGAAAGGCCATCCCGCGCTGCTCTGCTTTTCGGTTATCTTTAGCTCAGTAGCAACCATAGAGAAACAGCTGGAGGAAAGTTAAAAGGACAGCTTCTTTCTTTATTATTTTTATTTTATGTGTATGAGTGTATTGCCTGCATGCTTGTAAGTGCACCCGTGTCGTGCAAAGCCCACGGAGGCCAGAAGAGGATGTCGGATCCCCTGGGACTGGAGTTACGAATAGTTGGTAGCTGCCATGTGGGTGCTGGGAATTGAACATGGGTCCTCTACAAGAGCAGTCAGTGCTCTTAACCACTGAGCCATCTCTCCAGCTCCTAGGACATCTGACTTTAAAGCCCTCCCCAGAGTGTGGTGGGAGTTCAGATTGCTGCTGCTCACAACAAAAGCAAGGGTAGTCCCCTGAAGGAAGGGAAACCCGATGGGCGGGGCTTGGAGAAGGACTGGCCAGGGACTGGGCGGGGCTTGGAGAAGGACTGCCCAGGGACTGGGCGGGGCTTGGAGAAGGACTGGCCAGGGACTGGGCGGGGCTTGGAGAAGGACTGCCCAGGGACTGGGAGACCACGAGGGAACGCAGAATGGTTCTTGAGATGTTCTTACTGAAAGCTAGAGAGCTGGGATGGGGAGAGATGGAGGGACTTCCAAGCGCAAGAGCCTGCCTGAGTTCTGGTCTGTTCTACGGAACGGCAATCCCCCTGCTCTTTAACTTTTGTTTATCTTTCTTTTTGATTTAATTTTATTGTGGTAAGAACAGTTAGTATGAGACCTATGTATGAAATATTATACAGCACTGTGCTGTAGCAGATGGTGGCCACCTACACATCTGGTGGAAAAGAAGCTTTATCCATCGATAGAATTTTGATGTACTTTATACCCGCGGATGGCACTCTCTTATTTCTGGCTTCTCCCAGGCCTTGGTAACTAGCATTCTGCTTCTGTGAATTTGGTTTTACATGTACACATTTACATATATGTTTATCTATAACCATATATGACAAATAACATATATACACATATGTGGTATGGATGTATATTCTGTGTGAAGGCAGAGGTTGACCTTGGGTGTCATTTCTCAGGAACTATTCACCTTAATTTTTGAGACAGGGCCTCTCACTAGGACCTGGGCCCACTGATTAGGCTGGCCAGTCAGTGAGCCCTAAGGATCTACCTGTTTCTGTCTCTCTAGTGGTGGGTTTTCACTGTGAGCCCCCCTCCCCCCGGAGCTGAGGACCAAACTCCAGTCTTTGTGCGTCTGCAGCAAACACTTTGCTGAGCCACCTCCCAACACTTATGTTTTCTGTGATTTGAGAGAGATCTCACTATGTAGTCTAGGCTGGCCTGGAACTCATGATGTAGACCAGGCTAGACTTGAATTCTTGGAGAATACTGCTTCAGACTCCCAAATGCTGGAATTAACGCATGAGCCACCACACCTGGTTGAGTTTGGTTATTTTGTGTATACCATTAAAATGGGGGAAAAAAAAACCTGGGAAAAATCTCCACAGACTGGGCTTCAATGGTGACCATTTTACCCTCACTCCCATTCTCGCGAATAACTGAAATCTGACTGTTGACACCACAGACACGTCGCACTGAGGGAGGGGCCTCTAGGTACGGAAGACAGATACTTTCTGCCTTGCTGTTTTCCATGTGGTTGACTCTTAATGACTTGAAACAAGTTCTTTCAAACGGACTCACAAAGAAACAAATTCTGTTCTAACTCTTTCATTACATAATTCCATTTCTGGTCTCATGCACATTAGCTGGTTGGAAGAAAATCTCTTACTAAATTAAATTTGGTTTGATTAGGAAATTTGCGTCATATGCAGGCAAAGCACGGCATGTGTGGGTTAAAAATGTTCTGGTTATTTAAATGTTTTTTCTTCTTTACAGATGATTCAGTGAACTAAATTTGTGCCCCCGTGGGTCTGTGTTGGGGGTGGACTTTGCTCTGGCCCTTTGTTGAGAAATTTCTAAAGTCACAGACAGTTTGTTCTGTCTGAAGAAAAGTAACACAGCCTCAAAGCCTGGAACATTTGTGTGTCTTTATGTCCGGCTTCTCGGACCCTCCCAGCCCTTTTAAAGCTCTGTCTTCCTTTACTTCCTTTTCAAAAGCATTTGCTCTTCCCACCAGATTTTCCAACAGGTTCTAAAGGGCAGTTTGTCCCAGGCTCTTATCTTCCCTGGCCTAAGTCCTTAGCTGTATTTCAACCGAAATGATCATTGCCTTCCATTTTACTACCCAGCCTCCAGTGCAAACAAATGGAGAGATCTAAATATAATTGTTTCAAGGTGTTTTAGGACAAGGAAGGGGCTTGCAAAAAGGTCAAATTCTCACAGCAAGATATAGAGCCAAGGGCAATTGTTGGGTGGCTACCAGAGGCACAGTCCATCTGTTCTCTGTGTACCAGCCACCAGCTCTGCTTTGCTCAGCTGGAGGAGAGTAAGCTTGCATCTCACAAACCACTGAACAGCATCCAGAGGAGCAGGAAAGGATTAAAAAATTATGAAGATCTTCCTGTTATTCTAGGTCGGTAACTATCGGTTGGACAAAGTACTGGGAGATAGCAGTCTTTAGAAAGCTTGTGTAGTGACCCAAGACCCACGTGTCTTTAAGAAAGTCGCTCAGATTTGAACATCTGGCTACAGTATTTCCATGTGCCAAATGCCTCACTATTTTTCCTCTCTATCACTGCTGATGGACTAATAAGTTGTAGATGTAATAATAAGTTGTAGAGCGTACAGGTGAGTTCCAACACACGCCACACGATGCACACTTGACTAACACTCCAGTCCTTCGGTCCAGACAGTCCTGCTACTCCCTGGCTCCTGGCCAATCACTCTTCTCCCTGTGGTAAGGACTGTGCTAATTCCTATTGTTACAGATTAGTTATGCCTTTTCTAGAAACATACAAAAATGGCTTTATAGAGTGTGTGCTCTCTGTGGTCGAATTCTCTGTGTTCTGAGCATGTGGAGAAACATCTTGTCAGCATCTGTATCTGAGACGGAGGGGCTGCCCCACTCTGCAGGGACATATACAGGGATTCCGAGGTGCCCTGAGTTCTACGGGGCAGGGTGGGGGAGGATATGAAAGGACATCCCGACTGGGGCGGAGGGAGGAAGCTGAGGGAATTCCCCTTCCCCTTCCTGTCTTCAAGCAGCATAGCGGTCCCTTTCCATGGTGTATTAACTGGGGAAAGGGAGAATTAACAAGTTACTGCTATATTGTTTTAGTGAACCACGGATCTCAAGGTTCTTAGTGGTCCCTTGTCTGTGAAGGTCCATAAATTACTAACAGTGTTTTCTGATCTGAGAGCTGTGACAGCCCTCAAGGGAGGGCTGGGAGACAGCCACGGCCAGACTGCTCCCCCCACCCCCCACCTCCGCTTCCACCAAGGGAGAGCTGGGCACCAAGCTCCGTAATAGTAGCACCAGCTACAATCAGATAGCAGTAGCCCAACTGAGGCGCGTAGACAATAGGCCAGAGGCCATGGGCCTGAGAGGCACAAAGACGGCATTCAAAGGACCAGGGCTGTCCTGCCAGCACTTCCATGGTCTCCCGCAGACCCCGGCCAAGCCTGGAGACTGCCAGAAAGCCAGTTTTTCATGGTGAGCTTTTAAACTGCTAAAAATAATAAACGCAGAAAGGAAAGTACCGACACGGCCTTAGAGGCAGAGACAGACGGAAACTGTTGTTCTAATAACCAAAAGAAACCGCGTTCCACATTATAGCCCAGCCTTCCCAAAGGGCTGCCTGGTATCACCACACTCCAGACCAAGGAACTAAGCCAGAGGACTTATCAGCAAACCCAGGAACCGCCCACCCCTGCTTATGCCCTCCCTGGTTGGCCCTCCCCAGTGCTCATTAATGGGTTTTTTTGAAAAGCACTCAAGGAAAAGATATAGGAGAAGGGTTAGATCTTCCTCAAGCAGAATTTCCCTTCAAAAGATGTGGAAAAGCTCTTTCCACCCAGTGCTGCCTCCCTGACATTCTCCCTGAGCAAATCTGTCACATTTCTTTACCCAATATGGTTTTCACGCATGGAGTGCCTTATATCGCACCTGAATTTTAACAGAGCTCAAAGTTATGTTAAATTAAAACAAAACCATCAATGCCACAGTCAGAGACAATTCCTATCATGGTAGAAAGGATCAATTAACAGCAAGAATCACATTTGCCAATAGTCAAGACTGACCTCTGACCTTCTTATTAAGCCATGTGTGGAACTTGGCACCACGCAGGTCCGCAGGTGAGACGGAAGCCACAGGTCTGGAAAAAAGAAAACACAAGCAGGTAAATAGAAATTGCTTTTTAAAGAGGTTCCTCAACATTTGATTGGTTTAATTGGTGCCTGCTCCCATTTCTGTGTTTGAAGAGGGTCTGGTTTCAGAGCTGTCTCTGATTTTTGAATAGATGCAAATTGACTTAGATGAAATCTCACTCTGAACAGGAGATGGTTTCATGGAAAGAGGCTCTAAGGCCGGGCTGTAATCAAAGCACAGCCAGGGACAACCTTCCGGTTCCCAAAGACCTACTTTCCTATGGAGCGTAGGGAACAACAGGAGTTTCGCATTCCCAGCCCAGGAACGTGGCTAAGAACTCAACACAAATCTCCAAATGATGAGAGACTTTTGTGAGAGGTGACCTCCAGTCAGAGGACCAGTCCTGGGATGAGAATAGATGCCCCAGAGTCCTCTCTAGGCATCTGTCCCCATAGCACGTGCAAGACCGCTGCTCTGCTGTGGCCTCGCGACACTGAGGTTGTGATGAGGAGCTCAGAAATCCCGGACAACCAGAGGTTAGTAACACAAATGTTGGTTGGGGTTCCCACCACCCAGAATGGACGCTTGCTGGCATTTTTTGGCTTATTCTTTCTGTTTCACTAAAAAAAGACACAGAGCATAGAAATGACTTCCTTGGTAATTTCACCCCAAGCCTAGATCATAAACTGGTTTATAAATTTTCAGTCTCCACTTTTTTTTGCATTCACAAAAATATCTGTTGTATCCATGGTAACAGTGTGCTTGTGAGTGCTCTGGGCATTTTGATTTTGAGACAAGGTCTCGTACTATAGCCCTGGTTGGCCCAAACTCATGGTAACCTTGCTGCCTCAGTCTTGTGAATGGTGGATTACAGGCATGAGTCACCACACTTGGCTTGGGTGTGGTGTGTGTGTGTGTGTGTGTGTGTGTGTGTGTGTGATGTGCATTACATCAATAAATTGTCATGTGCTGTTTAAGCTCACTGAGAAACTGGCTCTAAAGGTGGTGCACCCCTCCCAACTACAGACCCAACAAGCATGTTTATTTCAAAACGTCTTTCAAGACTCCCTGTTTGAGGACAGGCCGCCCCCCCAGGCCCCATGGGAAGGGGAAAGAGGACAAAGTGGGACAAGAGGAAAATCACAGGGTCCTTGAGCACACCCTGGAACGTAAACCACTTTCAGCAGAGGTGATTGGGCTCACATAGAAATGCCCGCAGTGCTGGGTGACAGACATACATGCGGCCACACCGGGCTTTTCCCATGGGCCCTGGGCTCCGAACAGGTCCTCATGCTGCTGGTAGAGCCATCACTTTACCACCGAGCATCTCCCCAGCCTGGGTGTTTTTAAATTTACTATCTGATGTGACCTTCTGGCTCTGTAAGTATCTACATCTTTAAAAACAGTGTATACTAATTGTACAGTGTTCTGGGTTTTGCTATGACTTGCACACATGCATGGGCTGTGCTTTGGTCATAGCTCCTGCTCTGCCCTTTCTTACCCTCCCCTGCCCCTTCATCCATGTCCTAGTTACTTTCTTTCTAATGCTGTGATAGAACAAAAAACAATTTGGGGAGGAACAGATTTATTTTATCTTACATTTCCCAGGTCACAGTTCATCACGGAGGGATGTCAGGGCAGGAACTGGAGCACAGGCCGTAAAAGAACACTGCTTACTGGCTTATTCATCTGGCCTGTGCTCAGCCTGCTTTTTTTAATACAACCCAGGATCACCTGCTTGGAGGAGGCATGGCCACAGTGGGCTGGGCCCTTCCACATCACTCAACAATCAAGAAGATGCCCCACAGGTTAGTCCAATGTAGAAAATTCCTCAGTTGAAGCCCCCTCTTCCCAGCTCTGTCAGGTTGATGACTGAAGCCGTCCAGCACATTCCATCTTCACACTATGCATATGAGGTCCAAGCACGCTGATCCACACAGCTCATTCCCTTTGCCCATCACATCTGATAAATATATTCCCAGTTACTGCTTCTTAACCCAGAACTCAGTTTATGGCACCGTGAAAGCATCTGTCATGTCTTTAAAGTGATCCTGGTTCCTGGTGGGTGTGCATACACCTGGTTTGGTCTGCTGTTCCATTCAGGGCTCTATGATGAGGCCTTACTTTGTGCAGACTGCACACCCCACATACATGCAGGCATCACGTGCTTATTAAAAATTAGAATTATTGACTTCCAGTTCTAAACAGCGTTAAAGAAGAATTTGGAGTTGTTCATCTATTTTCTTCAAAATCTTTCTCCACTGCAGTTGTCACGACCTTTCTGATCCCCAACCTTCAGTTCCATCTCACTGCAAAGAGTGGAGGCTGAGAGTGTGAGGCCAGAGGCCCTGGGGAGGAGTCCAAGCACTTTCAAAGAGGAGCTTGATAGAGCCAGGAAGAGGCCTTTGCTTGGAATTGTTATGACTTTATGGCAGTTCTGAGTTCTGAGTTAATATACAGCATTACCCCTGACATTAATATCTAAAAATAAACAATGGCTTTTGTAGTGATATTAGACTTCAATAAATACTTTCTGATATAATTTAATTCTGCTTTAGACTTTAAAGAGTACATTTGGACTTGATTCAATGACAGCAATATAAAATTCTCATATAATCAACAATAAAAAGTTATTTAAAACTTGTATTTTAGTGCTTTTTGCTGTTCATTTTATTTTTTAAGACAGTCTCACTTTGTAGCTGAGGCTAGCCTAGAACACACTAAGTAGTCTGGGCTGACCTCGAAGTTATGATCTTCTGCCTCTGCCTCCAGAGAGCTAGGGCCATATGCTGCATTTAATTCATAATTTTTATTACGTGTACTTTAAGGGCTGGGCTGCACGAATAATTTCACCTAATTTCACCCAGTTTAGTCTTCATCATGATCACATGAGGTAGACACTATCAACAGGCCCATTTTCCAGTTGAGGAAAGGAGAGGCTGAGGGAGGACAGGGGACTTTTGCCCAACAGTGAAGAAGATGCCAGCAGGAGCCCCACCCCGGGAATCTGATGTCGCAGGCCATGTGCAGAGTGCCTGAGAACAGGCTTGTAAGACAAAAGCACTGTGACGGAGCTGGAAAGTGTGCTGCTCAGGAGGCTTCCAGAATCTGCACAACATGAACACAGCATCTCTTTCATGGCACGTCATGGCTGACTTCCTGTGATAAAGGCCATTTCAAGAAGGGGACTGAAGCCTGACCACCCCCGCAACTTTAACAAACCCACGGAATTCTCTCTAGAAAACGGGGAGCTGGGAATTTGCTCAGGAGACGGCCCAGCTCCGTTGACACAGCAAAGACTCCTTCCCCAGGACAACTTTAGCTCTGAATGTGTGTTCGTTACACTTTTTAAAAATCAGGCACAAATACATTAACAGTGTGGTTATTTTGTAGTTTCAAAGGAATCCTGTTTTGTAACTGACTCGTATTTATACTTGGAATGCATTTACTTCTGGGCATGAGGCAGTTCATTTTATTTAACCATCTGATCCAAGGTGTGGTTGGCACCGTTTCTCACGGCTGCTCCCAATGAATGCAAATTGAAGGTTAAGGGGGAACTAAAGCTTCTTTAACTTGCTTCACTAATATGTTATTTATAAACGGCTCTTTACTTGGTCTATTTTAGGGGAGGATAGTTATGTTTCACAAACAGAACCATGTAGAACAAACCAGTAATTACATAATATGTAATTTTATTGCAAAGCTTTAAAAGGGTTAAACTTTTATCTAATAATTTTTATTTTAATTTTTTTGAGATAGGGGTTCACTTTGTAGCTGTGGCTGGGCCGGAACTTGCTAGGGAGAGGAGGCTGGCCTCCACTTCAGAGATCTGCCTGCCTCTGCCTCTTGAATGCTGGGATTAAAGGTGTGCACCACTGTAGTCAGCCAATTTAATCTTAAAGGGGTTCATACTCTGGCAAAACTCTCTGTTCCCCTCTGTTTGTGTCTAGCCATCTCTGGTCTTCCAGCTCTCTTGAGATGAGACTGAACCGTGCTAACATGAAACCTGCCTTCCTCTTCTCTGTCCTTAACAGGTTTACTGAGTCTTTTAAAATTTCATCTTGACAGTTGTACCGCGTCTCCTTACCTCCCCAAACTACAATCTCATGCATTGAAGTCAGCGAGTTCTTCCTTTCTGCCCTTCGAATGGGTCTCCAAAGCGCAGCCTGGCGTAAGGGTCAGTTCTCTGCACGGAAGGTATTACGTGATTTGAATTCATGTGTCTCTCAGGTGAGTCAAGTTCAGGATTTTTTTTTTTTAGATTTCTTCTTTATTTAATTATGTGTATGTGTATATGTCTCTGTGTGTACGTTATGTGAGTGCAGTGTCCATGGAAGTCAGAAGAGGGTGTTAGATTCCCTAAAGTTGGAGGATGTGAAGCCCCACTTATGTGGGTGCTGGGAACTGAACTCAGGCCCTCTGTAAGATCAGTGAGTGCTTTTAACTTTCCAGCCCCAACTTGAGGACTTTTAAAATTAATTTTATGTCCGTGAGTGTTTTGCCTGCATGTGTGTAAGTGCACCACATGTATGCAATGCCCATGGAGGCCAGAAGATGGTGTTGGATTCCCTGGAACTGGAGTTACAGATGGTTGTTGGTAGCCGCCATGTAGGTGCTGAGAACTGAGAACTGAACCCAGGTCCTCTGCAAGAGCAACCACTGCTCTTAACCGCTGAGCATCTCTCCAGCCCCAACTTGAGGATCTGGGGCTATGCTCAGGTCTCACAGTCGCACTCTGTGGCCTCCCCTCCTTTTCTGTCCTATCTCGTCTCTCTGCTTCTGTCTGTCCTTCCTTTTCACAGTGGTTTGCTCTTGCTTTTTCTTCTCTCTCTCTCTCTCTCTCTCTCTCTCTCTCTTTTCCCAGACTTTTTGAGATGAGGTCTCCCTGTAGCCTCAGCTGACCTAGAACTGGTTATGTAGACCAGGTTGGCTTGTCACAGAGCCCTCCCTCTGCCTCCTGGGTGCTGGGATTAAAGGTGTGTGCCCTTATGCCCTGCTGCTCTTGCT